GGCCCCAGAGCCTGGGGGGGCAGCGGGAGCTATACGGGGGGGGGCAGAGCCTGGGGTATATAACACACTAATACAAGTGAGTTGGTAGATACTGATACAGACACGCTCCCTCTCAGGCATGTCTTCTTTTTTGGAAGTTCAAATATGGTAACCCTATTTAACCTCAGTCAGAACAAGTGTAATCCCATTGATGGCATGAATGAATGGATGTGCAGAATAAGTAGTAGTTTCATGTGTGAATATGTGGCATGTTACAGACATAACACACTAATACAAGTGAGTTGGTAGATACTGATACAGACACGCTCCCTCTCAGGCATGTCTTCTTTTTTGGAAGTTCAAATATGGTAACCCTATTTAACCTCAGTCAGAACAAGTGTAATCCCATTGATGGCATGAATGAATGGATGTGCAGAATAAGTAGTAGTTTCATGTGTGAATATGTGGCATGTTACAGACATGTTAGAAAGTTGATTGTAAAACTATAACTTGCAAGTGTAGATGAGGCTTTTGTCAACACATTGCTAATTTACTACCGCCTTTGTTAGGTGCTTGTTTATGTTATACAATTTTATCATCTCTAAAAATAGTTCATCGCAATTAAGTTTGGTAACACAGTTGTGTGTACTCCAGAACAAAATCATGTTCAGCATTATTTGTCTTTAATATAATATACTGCAAGTGAGACGAGACTCAAGAATAGTAGAAAGCACCTTAATTTTAGTTCTCTTCAAGCAAATAATCTCAGGTTCAATGTAGACACTCATATAGACAGAGTGAAACAAGTAGCTCATTCCTCCTGCATGAGATATAACATAGATGAAACCCCATCTATTATAAACAAGGCCAGCACTCTTTGTGATTATATCATGAACTGTCACTCAGATCTGGCATGCATCACAGACAGCTGATGGACAGGGCCGACCTTGGCAAAGCTGGTTTCAGCTGTGTATACAGAGATCAATCAAACTCGTGCAATCATCAGATTGGAATCAAAGTAGTGGCACTCTTTTCATGCTAAATTCAAAATTCCAGAATTGCAGAACTGATCAAAATCTTGATTAGCTTTTTAGCAAGCTCAGATTGGTTCAGTAGAAAAAAAAATTGAATTGACAAGAAAAGATAAAAAGTGTGATTATGAGGATTAATAATTTAATGCGTCTAATGTTCTCTTTAGGAGGCGGAATAAAGGTCTGGAGTTGCATAAAAATTCATTTCTGCTGCACTTTTATGTTTTAAAAGATATGTGTGCTATTTTTTTTCAGATCACTGCCAAGAAAAATGACTGCTGGTTCAGTATCAGTGCCTCAGATTATACCACTTCGACTCCCTTTGCCTGGGAAGGCTAAACATGAAATAGACACAAATACATTTGTAGAAATAAAATCAGGTATAAACAGCTTTTCTTTTTATTCTGTAATTTGACTCCTGCTCTTTGATACTGTGTTTGTGTTCAGTTGTATTAAAAATGAGGAGTCCTGTGGTACCTTAAAGACTAACACAGGGCTACTCAACTTTGAAGCCCCACAGGCCACAGTGATACTCACAGCCCATTCAGAGGGCTGCAACTTAAGTGTGGTTACATGTACATGGAAATATATATGCAAATAACTTCTTTCACACAATGCCCCAGTGCACCCGACACCTCCTCCCTGGGGACTAGAAATGCTGACACCTTGTACCCATCTGTTCCAGACAGCCCGTCCACTTTCATTTTTCAATGTTCACCCCTCCTGGGAGACGCCTTGCCATTGTGAATCCTGTTCCCAGTGGAGGCCATGTTCACCGTATCCCACCACGGGCCATGTGTTGAGTAGCCCTGACTGACTGATTTATTTGAGCATAAGCTTTCATGGGTCAAAACTCTTAGGCAGTTGCTAATGAAGTGGTTTTCACCCAAAAAAGTTTATGCCCAAATAATCTGTTAGGCTTTCAGGCTTCTGTGGCACCTTAAAGACTTATTTTTACATAAGAAATGCCATACTGGGTCAGACCAACAGTCCGTCCAGCCCAGTATCCTGTCTGCTGACACTGATCAATACCAAATGCCCCAGAGGGAAGGGAACACAACAGGTAATCTTCATGTTAGCCCTCCCCTGTCACCCATTTCCAGACAAACAGAGACTAGGGACACCATTCCTACCCATCTGGCTAATAGCCATTGATGGACCTAACCTCCATGAATTTATCTAGCTCTTTTTTTTTTAATCCTGTTAAAGTCCTAGACTTCACCACATCCTTTGGCAAGGAGTTCCAGAGATTGACTGTGCATTGAGTGAAGAAAAACTTCCTTTTGTTTTAAATCTGCTGCCTGTTAATTTCATTTGGTGACCCCTAGTTCTTATATTGGGGGAATAAGTAAATAACTTTTTCTTATTCACTTTTCTCACACCAGTCATGATTTTATAGACCTCTATCATATCCCCCCTTAGTCTCCTCTTTTCTAAGCTGAAAAGTCCAAGTCTTTTTAATCTTTCTTCATAGGAGACCTGTTCCAAGTCTCTAATAATTTTTGTTGCCCTTTTCTGAATCTTTTCCAATGCCATATATCTTTTTTGAGATGAGGCGACCACATTTGTGTGCAGTATTCAAGATGTGGCCATGCCATGGTTTTATAGAGAGGCAAAAAGATATTTTTTATTACGGATACAGACTAACATGGCCAGGGCTCGACATTTTTTTATTACGAATACAGATTAACATGGCCAGGGCTCGACAATTAATGTAATCTACTCGCCCGTGGTGAGTAGATTACAAACTGGCACAGCCGCGCAGCACGGTCAGCGCATGCGCAGTGTGCCGAACCGCACGGCTGGCGAGCGGGGCTCACCGCGTTTTGGTGAGCCCCTCTAAGACTTCAATTTTATTGTGATTTTTGATGAGTACCCATTTTCGTGGGTACTCTTTGCATCTCTGTCCTGCAAACATGTATGTGCTTAACTACTCATGTGACTAGTCCCATTGAAGCTAATAGGCCTACTTTTGTGCATCAGTAACTCAGTCCTGTCTTTTGACACAACTATGCAGCACTTTAAAGACTAACAAGATGGTTTATTAGGTGATGAGCTTTCATGGGCCAGACCCATTTGATCTGAGGAAGTGGGTCTGACCCATGAAAGCTCATCACCTAATAAACTATCTTGTTAGTCTTTAAAGTGCTGCATAGTTGTGTCAAAAGACAGGACTGAGTTACTGATGCACAAAAGTAGGCCTTCAGTGTTTGTAGGATTAGTACCTTAAATATCTGTCCTATTTTGTCTACTCCATATTCACAATGATATATTAAAACCTTAGAATTTGATTATTTTTCCTTTTGTTGTGGTTTTGCAAAACTGGTACTTGAAAATAGCATGGGTAAATTTCACTCAAAAGGTCCTGTCTACCAGTAAGAATCTCAGTTTTGAAATTCCAACTCTTATTTTTCTACCATGGTCATTTTTGCATTAGAACATGCAATGTGTAGAACTTGTACATATTTTCACATGCCCATTTTGTACCTTTTTTGTGAGAAGATGAATGGCGTGGAATGAAATTGTGAATATTTTGTCATCAAATTTTTGAGATGAGAAGGGGGGGGAAGGGAAACCAAAACACATGTTATAGCTGTAATCTTGCAATCCCTAACTCACCTACTTAATTTTGTTCATGTGAGTAAATTAAACATACATGTAAGCATTTGCTGGATTAGGGCTTATTTTTGCACAGCCCTAATATGGATATGGAAGTTCTTTTATTCATCATGTCTTTCAGATACTCCCGAAGTCACTATATATTACACTTTAGATGGAAGTAAACCTGAACTCTTTAGAAGACCTGGCTATAGTGAACATAACACGTTTAAGTACAAGGGACCTATCACATTACCTGATGGGAAAATAACAGTAAAAGCTTTGGCAGTCACCAAGTAAGTAGCAGCTGTCTGTATTGCATTACTGCTTGACTGAGTCTAGGACTCCCAGTCAAGGGCCAGGACCCAGTTCATTGAGCTATGGGCCATGCAAACATGGAACAAAAAAGCAGCCCCTACTCCAAAGAGCTTACAATCGAAGTAATATTCATATTCTGTACAGACATCAGCATCTTCTGTCAGAACATTTATTATTATTACGTAGAAATTACTTGTATCACAGTGGTGCCTATAGCCCTAACCATAGATCCAGGACCACTTGCATTAGGTACACTACAAATGTATAACAGAAAAACAGTCTTTTCCCTGAAAAGCTAATAAGTACATTTTTACCATCAAAGTCTATTATTTATAACATAATAAAATCACTATTCTATAAAATTAACATACCCTTTTGCTTAGGCATGTATTATTATTCCCATTTTACAGATGGGAATATATATAGGAGCAGGGGGCCTATTTCTAGGCCAGTGGTTCTCAAAGTATGGTCTGCAGACCACAAGTAGTCCATGGCTCGAGCTCAGCCCTCCCTTCCCAGCAGGGAACCCCACGCTACTGCTGGAGCCTCATGGTTGCCGCACAGCCACAAGGCTGCAGCAATAGCTCCGGCTTCTGGCTCAGAGATCGCTTGTGGGGTGAAAAAAGCCCCAACCTTCCGTGCCAGACTGCTGCTTGATCTGCATGGCCAAGGCCCTGGAGGTCTACAATGTGGCCACCTGATTGGCCTGCCTGCGGCCCCAGGAGCTGGTCAAGAGCCTGGCACTCAGCCTGCGTGAGAAGGCACTGTGTCTGCTGCTCTGTCCCACCGGCAGCCTCAAAGGGGCGGGCGAGGTGCTAGGCGACCCCACCTGCTGCGACCTGGCACTGCTTGACTGCCCACTGGTATGCAAGCCAGTGACCCTGCAGTGTGGCCACACTTGCTGCCGCTGCTGCACCAAGCCCAGCAACTGTAGCTGCTGCCATTGGCTCCCCTGCCCCAGCCCCCAGATCAATGTGGTGCTGGGCAATCTGCCAGAGCTCACAAGGCTAGAACGGCAGCACAGGCTCTGCATTGTGTGTGTGTGTGTGTGTGTGTGGGTGCACCTCAGACCAGACCCACTCCGACAAATCACCAGGAACAGGCACCCCTCCGACACCCCACCCCACAGGAGGAACAGCAGCACAGTGATGCGCTGTCCAGAGACTTTTCCCGCTGCTCCCATTGACCCTCACCCCTCTAACCTCCGCCAAGACCCTGCACCCCCAGTTTGCTCCTACACCCTCCCTTGCCCTGCACACCCTTCCCCCAGCCAGACACCCTACTCCCAGCCTGCTTCTGCACCCTACCTCCCACCCAGACCTTGCACCCTCACCCCCTCCTACACTCTACCTCTTGTCCAGAACCTGCACCCCAGCCCTATCCCACTCGTTGGCAGCCCTGTCCCGCACAGTGAACCCCTCATTTTTGTCCCCACCCCAGAGCCTAAGGGGGTCCACAAAATGCACTAGCTCTGGAACCTCAAAAGTAAATCTGGCCTATGGGAAGCCCTGAACCTCAGTCCTCCCTGTCCCTTTCCTCACCCCATGGGGCTGGAGCGCCAGAGCAGTGAGGTGCCTCAGTGGGGGCCACATCAGTCAGGGTTGGAGGGGTTTGGATGAGTTTTTTTGCTTCTCACTTGTGTGGTCCCCAATTGATTTTTCTGTGGGGCAGTGGCCCCGACCCAAAAAAGGTTCCCCACCCCTGCAGTAAATAAAGGAAACATTGAAACCTTTAGTTTTGGACATAAATTAATATTTTACTTTATTTAAAATGAAGTTCAATAAACTAACACAAGAAAAAACGCTTAATCTATTTAATATTTGAAATTAAACCATTCTCCCTAGCTGCAGCACTAGCAAAATGGCTCAGGCATAATTATCTAATTAACGGTGTTTCCATTAGCAGCCAGTGGTCTCCGGAAAGATTTGCATTGATCCCAGTGGTCTATGAGTCAAAATGGGCCTAAAACAGTGGTTTTAAGACTTGTGCTGCTCTCATCAGAGCCTTGCCCAACACCATACTGTGAGTTAGTGGCTGAGCTAGAGTTAGAATTGAGTTGTTTCATGGTCATTGCTAGATCATACTGTCATATAACATTAAAAATCAAATCTGTCATGCAGCATGAGTGGATGTGAGAGCGTTCTCAGAACTCCCTCTTCCCAAGGGGAACACGTATCAGAAATACGCTCAATAGATTGGGAGAGATGGAGAGTGCTGACTATGTGGTCCTTAGGTCTCCACCCTAAGGGCTGTCTTACTAGTTACACTCACTAGGAGATGGTACTTTTCCTGTCTTTTAGGCTGCCTGGTAAAGCTGCAAGGAATACCAGTGTGATGTCAAAGTATTTAGTGATTCACAGATACAGTAAATTAATAAATATGTACACTGACTTTCTAGCAGTATGCTCAGTAGATTTTGAACCAGCAATGAGGACTTGATCCTCCATGGCTTAGGTGCAGTGTTTCATACATAAGAGCATGGTAAAATGTGAGGCGTAGGACAGTGAGAAACAGGGAACTCGATCTTCTTGCAAGGTCATCAAGTTTTTTCTGACTAGTAGCAAAACTTTACACTCACTCATCTGCTGAAGTGGGTTTTACACATGAAATCTCATGATTCTATATATTTTTGTTAGTCATTAAAGGCATGGCTACACGGCAGTGTTATTTTGGAATAACTGACGTTATTCTGAAATAACAGTACACGTCTACACTACAAGCAGTGATTTCAACATAATGTCGAAATAATGTCGAGCTGGAGGACTTCTTACTCTGACTCTTGTAACCCTCATTTTATGAGGAGTACGGGAAGTCGGAGGAAGAGTGCTCTTCCTCGGACTTCCTGCTGTGTAGACAGCACCAAAAGCTGGAATAAGCTATTTCGACTTAAGCTATTCTATTGACGTAGCTGAAATTGCGTAGCTTACTTCGGCTTTAGCCCTGCTGTGTAGATGTGCCCTGAGGTGCCACAGGACTACTTGTTGTTTTTAAAGTTACAGACTAATACGGATATCCCTCTGAGACACTTAAATCTAGTCACATCACATATGCTCACTTTCTGCTCTCTCCCATTTGCCAGGAGATAGGGACTTCAACTTCAGCTGGAGGACTGTGCCTATTGTTTACCCTACCTGGATAAATTGTTGCCTTTGCTCAGACTTGCACTGGAGTGCAACTACCTTGTATTCCCTGTAGACTTGTAGAATCAAGGCTTATAGATCTTTGTATCATTGACCAGCACACACTTTTTTTCATTATTGTGTTTGTGAAAAGAAATGTTCTCAGCTCCTTCATCCAATGCTAAATGAATAGCATGGACAGTGAATGTATGTGGTATCAAATGTCACCACTGACATATAATGAATGCTAAGAAAAGTCAAGATAAATGTGGTGAGCTTTTTAGGAAATTGTTTCCATTTCGTGTGACATTATGTATAGTGCATAGAGCATATCTCCCCTCCCCAAAGTGAGTTGTACAGTAGTAATGATAAATGGAGGACATGGATTAAGGTATAACAGAAATATCTTGTGTAGAAGGAAACCAGGTATTAAAATTATCCATATTTCCATCATTTGTACTGGTAATTTTTCATCATAGAATTTCCATCGTTTTTACAAAGCACTGATTGATTGAGAATATGAAGGGATCATGGCAGCTTGCTGAAATAGTAATCTGGCTAGCAAGAGGAGTTTCAATAAAAGACCCATTTTCACCACTGATTTCTTTTCCAGTAATGCACATAATTTTGTGCTATAGCTTTATGTAACCTTTTGATTATTAACTTTCAGAGACTGCAGGGAGAGTGCCATTGTAACCAAGATATTTCTGGTAGAATATGAGCCACCAAAAGTACTCCTTGCTGATGAAGATAATGATGAAAATTTCCTGAAAGACCTCTCCAATCAGGCAAGTTACAGTAATGGCAAATCCCTATTGTAGCATAACGTTTTGTATTGTGTTATAGAGACATAAAATCAAGGTAGCTGTAGAGTTTCATTACTTTTATTTCTTTATCTGCCTGTCTTTGTTGTTCTCATGAAATCTATGCAAGTTCAAATGGTTGATTCTTTATTGGAACTATTGTGATATATCCCTTTTCCTCCTGAATGGCTGACCTTATGCTAGAGTGGCTTTGTTTCAGTTGTTGGTAACTTACAGCATTTGCCATTCGTCCACGTGGGCAATGTTGCGTTTAACTGAAAAGTGTAAACAGACACTTCCTTTTGGAAAGAACTCTTCAATCTGTCTCCTAATATTTTTTGGGGGGATTGTTCTGATCTCATTAGAAAAATAAACTACCTGAAAATGAGAAGTCTAGAAAGAGCCAAATCTTGAAATTCTTATTCAGAGAGAGCCTGGTTGTGCCCTGCTGTTGCAGCTTGGATGTGCAAGGGGCGGAATATGCACAAGAAATCTGGTCCTACTTGTACAGCATCACCACCACGTGAAACATTGTGGTACTACTACAGTCCTTGCACTTCATCTACAATCGCCACAGAATACAAATTTCCATTGGTTAGAAAGAAATTGACACTATGAGAGTGGTCGGGGGTGGAGTGACAGCGTTTCTCCTTCCACACCTTTCCTTTCTCAACCCACAAACCTGGACACCTGGAGTCCCATTAGGGGAGTCTCCTTGTGATTAGAAAAATGAGGGAACACTCCTGCAAAAATAATGATCCCTCCTTCTGGGCCCTCCACATACCATTCTGCCTACTGACTAGTATTTGTTAATTACTGATGATGTGCAGAGTGCTGTACAAAACACAATCTCCCTGCCTGAAAGCATTTAGATATCAAAGGCAGAAGAAGGTGTTAAATTTTGACATTTTTCTTTTTTCTCTTGTCAATCCCTCTCTCACAAGTTGTTGAACTGGAGAGGATATTTGAAGAATGCAGGTTAGTGTTTGTGGGCCTTGTGAAATCAGTGAATTTAGGAGGAAGCAGGGTGAGGACATGAGACACTGGTACTGATGGGGTGTTGCAGCATGGACACAGTGCATGCTGAACAGATTAGACACTGGAGGCGGAGAAGCAAATAAGAGGGGTGGTGAAGCTGCTTCTGTCATTGGCAAAATGACAGGGCCTGAAGGAGAACATGAGAGGAAATGGGATTTGTGCGGTAGGCTGTGATGGAGTCATACAGGGCCTTGAAGGTGAGACCAAGAAATTTAAACTTAATATGATGAGCAAAGGGGAAGTTGGAAGGACTTGAGTGGTGTGAATTCAATTATCTGAATGATAGGAAAGGATGATCCTTTGTTTTAGACATTTAGAAGGGGAATTATATTTTTGTCCTGGAAACCAGAGGAGATAAAGCGATGCCAACTGAGGCAGTTGCTGATTAGGCTGAGCATGGCTGTCTGTTGGAATTCAGTGTTCTAAGGGCTATGCGTACGAGACTGAAGACAGATAATCTCTGTATTCGCAGGAGCTGGAAGATGGACGGCCTGTCACAAAATTAAAAAAGAAAGGAGTGAATGTGGAAAGCAAATCCAGCTGTAATGATACAGCCCAAGAATTTCAAGGTATGACTGTATTGAAACCAAAGGTAACTTAACCCCACTGAAAGTAGTTGGTAGATGCGTTTTTTCTGTTAGGAAATTACAGATAATCTCAAAAATATCTCAAAGACCAAGCATTCTTTGTGAGTTCACACTGGCAGGATTATACCACAAGCCAATAATGAAACCTTAACTCCGATTTTATTCATGCTATAAATATAAACAGTTGATTGTTCCATGGTTCTGATAATTGAGCCTACTTAAGAGCCTACGATCCTACTGGCCATCGCTCACTAACTTGCTTTTGGATCGAGCTTTTTGGAGAGGAGAAAAATCTTAAAATAGAAAAAAAATGCAAAAGGAAATACTTTTTTAGTGAGGAACATGTGATAGATTTCCACTATCAGAAAATTGCTTGCCAAATAACCTTTTCTAAAATGGCGAGAACTGTTCTTAGATATTGGAACGTGGCCCTAGGATAACACGTGACATAATGCTAACCAAATCCCATGTTTTTCTGAAGTGCCTGATAGCGGAATTATGGGATGACATTTGGCTGTAATTTTAGACTTGGAGGTAGAGAGAAGAACTGTCCCCCAGTCTTTGAAAGGGTCACAGTCCTTAAATGGTCGTCTGGAAACACCAGGAAACAGAGAAAAGTCGATCTCAGCACTACCAGCACACCAGTCCCAGGTAAATGAAACAGTTAGTGGGGGAGACAATAAGGGTGAATCTAAAAGTTGACTCTCAGCTCTGTATGAGGGAATAGCTCCAGAAAGAAATTGGAGTCAGAGACAGCCCTCTGAATCATAAGGCCTCCAGAGCACATGCTTTGCACCTGGATGAAGGCTGGAAAAGTTGATTGGACTTGCTCATTTCCAGAACTAATTCTGGTATATAGTGCAAGTTTAGGGCCTTTCCCACTCCTTGTGCACAGACCTGCTGATGGGGGGAGAAGGGGAGGGCAAATGAGGCAGTTGCCCCAGGGCCTGGCAATTCAAAAGGACCTGGGGCTCCTGCCTGGGACAGGAGCAGCAGTGGCCAGCACCCCAGGCTGTTTAAATTGCCACTAGAGTGCTGTACAGCTCTCAGGACAGGCTGGAGGGGAGAGGTCCAGTGTGCTGTGCTCCAGGTGATGTAGAGGGCTGGCCTCACCCCTTTCAGGAGTGTGAAGTCACTCCCCCACCTTGCCCAGGGTTGAGCAAGTTTGTCAGTCCCCCAGCTTGTGCACTAGCTTGCAGGAGGCAGTATTAGGTCTGCGAGCCGTGCTGTTCCCCCATGTCTGGATTTATGAAGAGTGAGCCCTGCAGCGTCGCCTGAGATCCCTTTATTTTCCTGCATGTGCAGGACTGGGTGGGTGTGTCTACACTGCATTCCTCTTTCGAGAGAGGAATGCAAATACAGCTGAGCGAAATTGCAAATGAAGCGCGGATTTGAATTTCCCGCGCTTCATTTGCATAATCACGTCCGGGCGCTATTTCGAAATACCCTGTTTCGAAAAAAGAAACGCAGTCTAGACGTGGTTATTTCGAAAGAAAACCCTTCATTCAAAATTATTAAGGGTAATTTTGAATGAAGGGTTTTCTTTCGAAATAACCACGTCTAGACTGCGTTTCTTTTTTCGAAACAGGGTATTTCGAAATAGCGCCCGGACGTGATTATGCAAATGAAGCGCGGGAAATTCAAATCCGCGCTTCATTTGCAATTTCGCTCAGCTGTATTTGCATTCCTCTCTCGAAAGAGATGAGAACTGAGCTCTAAACAATTAAGTGTTTGAAGCTTTCTTCCACCTAGGTCACTTCTCTACCTCTACTGTTATAGTACTGGTTTAAATACACTGGTAGTGACAGGCCTTCAGTACAATTCTAGGAACACCCAAAGCAAAACTCAGCCATTCTTAAAGACTGATGAAGCAGAGCAAATTATTGATGACTGCACTCTTAATTCTCTTTCTAACTCATTAGTGATTCTAAAGCTTCAGATGGGTAGCCAAGTTAGTCTATAACTGGAAAAACTTAAACAACAAATAGTCTAGCAGCACTTTGGCAACTAACAAAACATGTATGGTATCACGAGTTTTCGTGGTCAGAACCCACTTTTTCTCACAAAACTCATGATATCATCTATATGTTTTGTTAGTTTTTAAGTGCTGGTAGACTATTTGTTGTTTTATAAGTTCATTAGTGATTGACAGGCCTGCAGCAGTAGTAGTTTCTGTTTGTCAAATATAAATGAAATTGTTAAAATTTAGGATCTGACCTGCTGTCATTGAAGTAAATAGTAAAACTCACATCTAATGAGTGGCCTTTATGTGGCTCACAGGTGAAATTCACTAGTTTAGCAGTCCTTGCCTGAAGCCTCTAAACTGCAGTGAATTTTATCTTGAACAATAAACATTCATATGGGGAATGTAGCTGGGTCAACCTAACTTTTCAGTGTAGACCAACCCTTGTTCTATACTGAAAAGTGAGGTGGACATAGCTACATCGGCCAGGGGCGTGAAAAGCCACACTCCTCATAGACACAGCTATGCTAACCTACACTCATGTTCAAACTCAGCTATGTCAGTGGAAGAATGTCTCCATGAATATACCTAACTTGATTCAGGGAGGTGATAGTCCTTCACTGACAGGAAAAACTCCTTTCATTGGTGTAGGCTGCATCTACACTGTAGAGTTATGCTGGTATAATCTCTTTACTGTAAATGTACAGTACTTGAAAACATAGTGGCATAGCTACGCTGGCATAGCCATGCAGTGTATACACAGCCTATACCTACAGAAGGGTTTTTTTCTGTCAGTGTAGGAAGGAATACCACCTCCCCAAATGAAATTAGCTTTGTTGACAGCTTTCTCCCACTGACATAGCTTTGCCTATTCTACAGGATAGGTTGGCTTAACTATATGGGTCAGGGATTTGTTTATTTTACATCCCTGGCCAGCTAGCTATGGCAGTCTAACTTTTCAGGATAGATCAGACTAGAGGTCATGGTCATTTATAATCAAACCAGTATTTTAGAGTGTATGTTTCACTATCTTAAAGAGTCATCTTTATTTTCAGTTAATGAGTTCTGCAGTGTCTAGCAGGAAAAATCTAACAAGCACACAGGCAATGAGAATCCAGAGGGAAACAGACTTCCTCAAGTAAGATTTTTTTTCTGCTGTTTGTAGTGGGGGAATCACAAAGAAAATGCTTTAACAATTGAAGTGACAATACTGTTCCATTAAACTAAAATGAGGACGTCAAGGTATGGACATTGCTGTTGTCATGTTTTTGTTTAATATTATTGTATGTCACTGGTAAAGTTGTTTTATAGTGAGATATACATTTAATGATCAGCCATCCCAGGGATGGGGATGGGGGTGGGAGTGGAAGAGAGTAATTACAGTATTCAGCCCATACTCATGTTGGTGAGCATTTGCCCAGAAGCAGTTCCAGTGAGTGTGAGTAAGTGCTGACCAGTCTATGCCTGAATGTCACTGCAGGAGATTATAGTATTTAGCAGTACAGCTTGAAAACATGCTCAACCAGTTTGCTGTTATTTCTAGGTGTGCAAATTGCTTAGCTCCTCGCCCATCTGATCCCTTTGCTCGCTTCTGTCAAGAATGCGGTTCTCCTATCCTGCCAGTGCCAGGGGGTCGCCTTCCACCGCCTGAAGGAGCTCAGGTCAGCAAAAACATGTAACCAATTCACTCCGACTTAGAGATACAGCCTCCACAGACTACATATGTTACTGCTGAGGAAACTGTGTTTTCATCACACTTTCAGTTGGAGAATCCTGCTTTCTGCAATTCTTTGTATCAGTCAACAAGTTTGGCAGGAGGAACAATAATAATTCTTTCTGTATTGTTTTGCCTGTGGCTTTCAGCTGCTGAGGGAAAGTTTCAGTTGGGATCTGTTTGTTTTTCTAAGGGTATGTTGGAAAAATTATTTTCTTTTCTTGTACAGATGAAGAGAGCAACAACATAGACTCCCATTAGCACTGCAGTGACCAACAAATCTTCAGAAACTGTAAAGCAGGGGTGAGGAAACTTTTTTGGGTTGGGAGCCTTTGACCCACAGAAAAATCAGTCAGGGATCGCACATGGATGAGAAGCAAAAAAGGAAAAAAAGGGAAAAAAAAAACCTCACTGTCACGGTCCCAACTGAGAAGAAAGACACTCCCCACATTCCTCTTGCACACTAGAGCATAGCCTAGTAGATTTTGTGTGCTCCAGCCCTTTGATGGGGCAGGAGGAGAGAGAGAGGCTGGAGTGCCAGCATGGGCTCCCCAATGCTGGAGGGAGCCCTGATTCTCAATGATCCAGATCCAGGCAAGCCGGGGACTGCATCCAGCCCCTAAGCCTGAGGTTCCCCACCCCTGCTGTAAAGTTACAAACACATACATGTCTTATTCAAAAAGTGAACATAGTGCACAGTGCTTAATCTCTGATTCTGGTATGTCACATATCTGTAAAAACAGCATACTAGTATTCCTGAACTGGAGGCGATTTTATAAGATCGATAGACCAATATGTGCCTGCGCATCTGAGATCTCTCTGTTAAGCGAGGTTTTTATAATGTTGCTCATCTCTGTATTGCCTGAGTATCCCCAGGAGGAGATAATCAAAACTTAACATTGAGCCAATGGTCTAATTTTCTTCACTGTTTCCCCCCAAGGTAGACATAGATATAGTCTTTGGAATAGTCACCAATCCTGCAAGGTGCCGAGTGCCCTCCGCTCCCAGCAAAGTCAACAAAAATGAGGATATTCAGCATCTTACAGGATCTGTATCAGGGGTTTAACTACATGTACGTTGATATTATTGTACCATTTTAGCTTTACTAGGATCAGTAATCAGTATATTCGCCTCCTACCTTTGCAGCAGTTCTACCTTTCTTCTTTGTAGCATCTTTGTCTCTGGTGTGTCCAAATTCTGCTCCTCTTGCAATCAATTGCTAAATTTCTATTGGCTTCCCTGAGAGCAATGCCAGGCTCTGAGTGGAAACGAAATTGCTGTTGCAACTAACACTTCTGCTCCTCCTGTCTCATGCAGGGGGCAGTATCCAATCATGAGCTGGTCAGGCCAAACAACAGTGCAACTGCACAAGACGGTGTCAGCACTCAGGATTGTACTCTGGAGTTCTGCAGAAATCTGACTGAAGGAGCAAAACCAATTGCTGGTTTTGTTTATTCATGAGCTTCCCCCTGCTCCCCCCCCCAGGGAGCACTGTATAGGAGTAAATATCATGCATGGGAAAAGTCGATCTCATTTATTTCAGCCTTATAAAAGGCTCCTACTTGAAAAGCAAATGTGTTTACTAGACTCCACATATAAATCTATCAGCAGCGTGGTATAGGATCAGTTGTAACTCTTCCCTGGTGCTTGGTGTAGGAATCAAGGGTCAGTGGGACTGGACAAAGGAGTGTGATACAGCTGGAGAACAGCGGATCTTCATCAAGCTCTCTCTATGCCCAGGAAACCCCTCTGCAGCTACTGTCTCGGGTTTTGACCTCTGCAGGTCTCAAGGAAATATATCAGACAGGAGAAGCTAAAATGGAGGAACAGCTACTGTACAGAACGTGTTCCCCACAGAGCCCAGTGGATTTCTGAGGATAAATAAGGCTGTGAGTTAATGGAAGTGTTCTTATTAAAAATGCACCATGTATATACACACTAATTAGGCAGTTATAACTTAGCCAGGGGTCACTGACTTGCAAGAATAATTTTATCATGGCAAAAGTATAGGGATGGGTTTTTTCACTCTCTTAGTTCTCCAAACTGTTGTTCTAGTATTCTGCCTTCAGTCAGAGATTGAATCTGGAAAATTTCAGCCTGAAAAGTGAAAGTTTGAGACAGTTGTCAGTAATTAAAAAGCAGTCTTTAAAATTGAAGTATTTAGGTAACTTGAACTATAGTTACCTTATTGAAACACACACCATTAGCAATAGTTAGGTTTTGCCATGCTGCAATATAATCGTTGAACTTGTTGCAGTTGAAAATGAATATTATGCTGTTGCTGGACTTGGCATGTATGCTTGAATTATTTCTCTGATGGGGCACCCACTGCTGCCATCCACTTTGCTTTGCATAACCACTTAGACAATCCTTTTCTCATGTCAGTATCCCTGTGCAGTTTATTTATAGTGCTTCATTCCACCACCTTCTGCATACTAGAGTAATCACATTATTGTATGTTCTCCAGCTTGTTATATATGGTGAAAGTTGTCTCCATCCTTCCAGAAAACTCCTTCTTCCTTTCCTCCTCTCTCTTGCTTTGCTTTTTACTCTGCTTCCTTCTTGTGCTCTTCTATCTAGCCTCCTTGTCAGTGTGCTAATTAGCTTCCCAGCCACAATCAGATCTGCTCATCAGGAACTCCTCTTCTTAATCCCCTAATTCAGTGTTTCCCAATTTTATTTGGCCACAGAACCCCTAGGGCTGCCTTTTAAAAAAAAAAAAAAAAAAAAAGCAAAAAAGGCCCCCTCCTCCGCTGCATTTCATCAAGCAACACACACACACAAAAAAAGAAAAAAGCCCCACCACCGGCTCTGTCTCTTTAAGAGGGGGCGGGGGAGTGCCAGCTCTTCGTGGAACCCTTGCTTTTGCTTCACAGAACCCCAGGGTTCCGCAGAGCACCAATTGGGAAACACTGTCCTAATTGAAACGGTGACCACAGTGCTTCTGACCCATCACACCAACTTTGGGGAAGCATGGAACAAAATGCAAAAACTAAGGTGTGAGGAGACATCAGTGAGAGATGAAAGCAGGATGTAGGATGTGGCAATTTTATGCCCAGCCTTGAAAGAAGGGGAAGATGGAAACTTTGAATCTGACATGAATGCCAGTAGAAGGAGTAGCATGGTCAGAGAAATGGGAGAAGAACAATTTTGGCAGTGGCATTTTGGATAGACTGTAGGGGTTGAAATAAGAAGCACTGAGAACTGGAAATAGGAGGTTATATCAGTTTAGAGCTGACCAATGCTTGGACAAGAGTTAAAGCAATAGGAAAGAGAAAAACTGTAGAGGCCGCGAATGATATAGCATGTCTGTGAGGAATTATAGCCATAATTGCATGGGTGAAATTGATTCTATTGTGTTAAGATTGCATGGATCAAAATAAGTAAACGAATCACTTGTCCTATTCTCCTAAAAATTATTCATAGCAGGGTAATGCTGAATGACAGACACAGAAAAGCAGCAGCTATTTTCTGGTAAGCACCCACCCTCTAATCTTGGAGATCACATATAGTGAGAGAGAGATTGTTTGAAACCAATGAGAATATTCTCCCTCAAACACTGTCTTACATGTCAGTACAATACTCATGGTGGACTTGTTTTCCTTTGATAATAGAAAACAGCAGCGACCTCTTTATTTCATCTGCTGAGATGGATATCTGGAAGAGAATGTGAATTGACTTGTTTTTGAATGGCAGTGTTACTCTGGAATTAACTCTTATAATGGCACCATTAGAGATCATCATTTGTTCCAATGAAACCACTATTTTGAGGGGTGTAAAATTTAGCTCTAAAATGTGCATAAATGGGCTGATAAATGCGGTTACACATTTCCACGTAGGCATCTATTTTGAAGCAAAATCTTGTGTGAGCTTGTTCTTTGCTTTTGTTTTTAGTTTTACTAGACCCTGAAAAACAATATTTGTTTTGGTTTCCAATCTCAATTTTGTCTCCCTTTTCCCCCCAACTGAAGTAACAATAATAATCTTTATCACAGGACTCTGTGATAGGCACTCTACCAGGGGTTGGCAATATTTTTTTGCCAGGATCGCACCAGAAGGGAAGGGGCGGGGCCAGGATGCTTCCGGGCCTTCCCCCCCCCACACACAGACCATGACTGGTCTGGGGGTGAGGCACCCCTTTCCCCCTTCCAGGTTTCCCCCTAGGCATCCATGCCCCTGGTGGTGGGAGGAGACTTCCCGTGCTCCCTCACCCACAAGCCAATCAGGGCCTGGGGGCTTCAAAGCTCTGGGTGCTCCTGGCAGGGTAGAGGAAACTTCATGCGCTTCCCCCTGTCCCAGGCCCTGTTTGGCCCTTTTGCCCACCTCTGCACTGTACACACACTTTGGAAGACCGGTTTTCCACCCTAAGAAACTCAGAGTCCACTTTTTAGCAAAGCTCTTGTCTAGTGGGAATAGTTCCTTTTGATAGCTATGGCTCATGATACTTTTTTCTATTCTCTGTGTAATACACTGATTATTATGCATAGTGGGGAAAATCTTGCCCTGTCTGTTGCATGATAGTAGAAGGCTCTGGGCCCACTGGAACATATATGGTTGCTTGTATGGTGGGTGGGTTGCAGGTCCTGTCTGGCACAGGCGGCCTTTCTAGCAGGCTTGGGGGGAGGTGTAATCTATGGGCATGGCAAGAGCAGCTGATCTGTGGAAGCGCGCAAATACAACTGTTATTCTCCTTGTGCAACTGGCCTTTGGGCACGTGGCATCTTCATGGCCTACTGGAACCGTAAGGGCAGTTGTAAGTGCTGCAGAAAGGCACTCTGCAGCCTGGAAGGAAGATTCTTTTTCCTTCTCCTGACGCATGCGTACAGGTGCCGGGTGTACACCTGCGCTTTGTGGACTCCAGCTTTGGGGTAAGGGAGGCTTAAGTGAGGCTGAGGTCAGAGGTTCCTGCTGCCCCCTTCCTCCTCCCTTTCCCCCCTGTGTTACTAGTTGCAGCCATGATGATGGCTTTGAAGCTTCCCTATTGAGGCACAGTGCTGTCAGGGGGAAAGGAATCCTTCCCCAACACAACCACGAGGGCTACTCCAAACATAGCCCAAGGTTTATCTACGTAGGGCATAGCTCAGGTTTTAGGACTTGAGAAGCAATTGCTAGAAGTTGGGAATTGGCGATGGCATGGATCACTTGAGGGTCACTTGTTCTGGTCATTCCCTCTGGGGCATGTGGCACTTGGCCATTCTCAGAAGGAAAGGTAACTCATGGGGGGCGCAAGGGATCACATGTGCCCCAAACGCTGTGCCCAGGAGGAGCTGGCCAGCAGCCGGCGGGGAGAGTAGCGGAAGGGGTCGGGACTAGCAGCAAGAGCCCCCCACCTCCCCAGCACTTACTGGCAGCAGCGGGAGAAGTGGAGCAAGGTGGGCGCAGCTGCTTTGCTCACTCACTTGGGGAGGGGGCAGGCTCACATCCACTCCCTGCCGGGAAGCAGAGCAACGTGGCCGGGGGAGCAAAGCAGCTGGGGTCCCCTGGCTCTGCTTCTCTTGTCACAACTGGCAGGGGTGGTGGTGCTGGATCCCTGCTGCCAGCACCAGCTCCACTAGTCCCCTGGAACACCTTGTTTGGGGGACAACACAGGGCAGGGGCAAAGCAAAGGTGTGGTGGAGCAAGAGCGGGGAGGGAGTAGAGCAGGGGCAGGAAGAAGTGGGGCCTGGGTTGAGGGTTTTTTCCCAGCCCTTCCCAAGTTGGGGGGGGGGTCACTAAGCCAGTGCCCCTCCCCAGGTCCTCCCTCTTGTCAGAAGACAGGATACTGGGGACTCAGTACGGTCATTCTTATATTCCTAATTTTATTCCACTTTCCTGCAATGTGCATTGCCATAGGTATTTCCTAATATAATGTTCCATGTGTAGCAAGGTGTGGTATTCCCTCACACCAGAACTCAGCGGAAAGGAGCACATCTGTTGTGACTGTGTTATGACTCAATGCTGAGGCCCTTACTCAGGTAAATGTCTTACTTTGAATCAACGTGAGGCTTTTTTTCCCCCTGAGTAAAGTCTAAGGATTGCAGGGATTGGCGTATAAAGTAATGATAGTGTCACACCGCTTGTAGCAGGAAGAATATGTAACAGAGGTGCTTCCTAACTCAGTATATAGGTATATACAAATGTCAGGGCTCTGTGCCTACTGCCTTAGCCTCTGCTAAGAGATCATGCCGAAAACGCTGACATTAACTTTTGTGATTGCCTAATTTCCCATGATAAAGACACATCATATTGTCTTTTGTACAGATGGGACTATGTGTCGAATGCCGAACTATGGTGCCAATGAACACCCCCACTTGTATCGTATGTGAGGCCCCCATAGCTCCACAGCTGCAGCCCCAGGCCAGCATCTGCTTAAAGGTAATTAAGAACAAATGTAACCAAGAAGTAAATTGCCTAGAGGTATGGATGTTTCCCATAGATGATTGTGTTTCAGATGTTCTGATTCCATTTGGCTTTGGCTCATTACATTGCCACAACTTTTAGCTAGTGGGATTTAAAATGTTTGTTGAACAGTAGCTGTCAGTAACGGTAGACCACAGAAGCATGATAAGGCATGTTGTAGAAGAGCACGCTATGTCAGTCTGATCTGTTTGACTAAGGTAGGGATGCCTTTCTTCTGCACAGCATGGAGTATATTAATGTGATCTGTCTAGGCATTTATAGCTTACTCATAGCTATTTTAACTCAGTCCTCGCCGTTCTAGTTAGTTCTTTTGATTGTGACATATTAACTTATTGTATGGAAATGGCCCAGCTGGAGCATGTACTGAAGATGGAAGGGGGAACATGTCTGGGAGGGTGGTTCCTGTGGAATGTATGGGAATGCAGTCTCAGCTGGTGATTCTCAGCTAACTTGTTATAGTGGGGTATGATGGGGTGGGAAGGCAATTCTGGAAAGGGAGGGTTCTGTAGGGGAGCTGCAGAAAGAAGAATGATGGGAATTGGGATTGTCAGTGAACTAAGGATGGAGCTGTAATCTTTGATGACAAAAGTGACAGGTATCATGGGTACCAGCCCACACTTTAAATGGTTTAGAGCAGCCTTAAGGTCAATGCAGGGGCAAACTTAAATCAATGGAGCATGGCTAGTGTGGACACTCATAATTCCTAGCATCGTTGGAAACTCACACTGCTCAGCAGAACCAAAGCTGGCCAGTAAGCTCTCTCCAAGAAGTATAGGGCTATGTCTACACTGCTGGCTTTTGCAGGTAGAGAGTATGCAAATGAAGCACTGATTAGCATAATGTCACACTTCATTTGCATAATCTACTCGAGCCGTTTTTGCACAAAAACAGTGTGGACATTTCCTTTTTGCACAAAAAACCCTTTTTGTGCAAGATCCTTATGGCTCAGAGAGGCAAAAGCTGACAGTGTAGACATAGCCTAGGTGTTTTTCTTTTGCGTTTCTTTGCAAATAATACTGTTTGCAAGGAACTATGTGTACAACTAAGCAAATTGATCAAATATCTGGCCAATTCAACAGCACTTCCACCAGCCAGGGTACATCTACACTTGCTCCCTAGTTCAAGCTAGGGATGCAAATATAGGAGACTGAAATTGCTAATGAAGCGGGGATTTAAATATTTAAATATCCCACGCTTCATTGGCATGATCCTGTCGGCGTGTTACTCTACTCAACAGCTGATTTGAGCCAGGAAGTGCGCTCTGGGACACGTTAGTTTGAATCAAACCCCTTGGTTTGAGCTAACGTTATGCCTCAAAAAATGAATAAATTTTTGCTATTTAAAATTATCCAGTAATTAGCCTGCTTTTTCTTCATTTTAAAGGGCAAGATAATCTGTCGGATGTGTGGCACCGGAAATCCTATTCACATAAAACACTGTGTGACTTGTGAAAGCAGACTGCCTGAAACACAGACGGTAAAGTTTCATGCACAGAACAGTTAGCTTTATTATGTGGTATCTGTGAATGAACTTCATCTTCTTTTTCTTGAAAACATGGGGCCGAATCTGGTCTTGCGCTAGGGCTGTGCTTTCTCCTGCATAGTTTAGGGTAGAATTCTAGCAGCTCTCCCCTTGAAACATCATGCTCCAAGCTCCACAAGATAGTTGGAAACCCCATCATACACCTTCTCATTTCTCCCATGGGAACCATGGTTGTACGGTACTGCTTTCTGTGCCAAAAGGTGCTTTGAAAAGGTGTGTTGAAAGTGATGGTCTTGACTCAAAATGTCCTGAATTTAGTGAGGCTTCTGTGTGTTCAGTTCTCAGTCAAGAACTGTAAATCTTGACAGGAATGATAGGCTCCACTTTCTGCATGCCCCATCAGCATACAACTGTTATCCTTGTATTTGGCAGTGACTCTGTCCAGAGGGGAGAGAAACAACAATGAATTTTCCCTTTAAGATTGCTGTGTCATCTTCCTGTTTAGTTCTGTTCATTTGGCTGGGTGGAGTAATTTGTAATTACTATCCCTCAGGCAAAATCTTTTCTAGACGTCCAAGGAGAGATTTCCTTTCTCAAAGCAGGAAGACACAGAGATGGGAGAAGGCAATAATAATTTGTATCTCATTACCTTCTGGTCACTAAGACAACATTGCTAGGTCATAACTAAAATTACCAGGATATGAGTATATGTTTTCTATAAAATGCTGTAGCCTTGAAAGTGCAGTGGAACTGCTCAGAAGCTTAAAATTAAGCAGATGCTTAAGCATTTTGCTGAACGTAAATGGTATTTAATCACTTGCTAGAAGTTGAGCATGTGTATAAATGTTTTGTTAGAGTGTAGCCACATAACCATTTAACTGATAAGCTGGTGCTTATCGGTTCGTGTTATCGGTTACACTCTGCCTCTTTCCTGGGTGCTGGGCCCGCAGGGCTGCTCCCAGGGAGGCTTTGCTGTGGGCTCTGCAGTATAAAGCTAAGCTAAGCTTTATTCTGCAGAGCCCACGGCACATGTAGCCTCACACGGTTACCATATTAAATGCTTGTTAAGATCCCTGGTAATAACTTTTAAAAAGGATTCACAGAAATACTATCAAGTAGTTTAGAATGTGGTTTCTCTTCAAATGGGCAAAATGCCACTGCTCACTTACTTAGAAATTAAAGCTACTATTGCTTCACGCCCCTTTCTAAAATGCTGTTGTCTCCCTGTCCTGCAACTATGGCTTTGGTTTTCAAATCTGCTCTGGCCTCAGGCTTTGCTAGTTATCATCAAGTATGCTATGGCCCAAAGAAAATAAATTACATAGAAACCCAAAGAGTTGTAAATTTTCAGATATTTTTGTACTAGACTATTACGCCTTTGTAAGCTTAAAATGGCAATCTGTTTTCCTGTAAGAATTGTATTTAATCACTGTGAATTCTCACTAGTTCATTACAGTAGGGTTACAAGAAGGAGCCGACTTGCTGACAGTGAAACAACTATAGAAAATGAAAGAGCAAAATAAACTGGTAACAATGATCTAATCCCCCCAGTCCTCCACTTACCCTAACATTTTCAAATGTACATGAATTTTGCAAACAGATAAGAACATTGGCCACATATTCTATTGTAGAATGTAATTTTTTCGGCCATTTTTTCAGTATAGCCTAACTTGTAATTTTCAATTTTCCTTATGCCCCCATGTTTCTAGGTAAATAATTGCATCTGTAAAAATGACAAAATGTGTTTGGAAATAAAGTTTTGTGGTCATAGTTCTCAGAGAGCGAATAATGGAAAGGTACACACACACACACCTATTTTAAAACATATTATGTCCTTTAAATGAGAAAATTCCACATTAGGTCAGAGTAAAGCCAATATTAATTCACTGCTGAAAGCATTGCTTTAGACTGAGTATTCCCTTAGAAAGTGTCTACGCTGCACCTGTAGTTCAAAATAAGCTATGTGATTTGAGTTACGCAAATTGCATTGCTTATTTCAAGTGTATTTTTCTAAATGGATTATTTCGAAATTTGGCACTGTCTATACAGCACCAAATTTTGAAATAGAGTGCTAATCCGAAACATCCCTTAATTCTTGTGGAACAAGGTTTACAGGGATGTCAGAATAGCGTGCCTGTTATTTTGAAAGCTATTTAAAAATAACAGGCTTGTTTAAAAGACGCGGAATAGCTAGATGCACCCTTGTAATATACATAAATATTTATTTCTATTGTTTTGTGCTTTCACACTCCCCTTATTTCCCATTTTATTTTCTCTTACTATAGCCTATAAAATTATTATTTTTTCTTTACTAGCCTGCACTCGGCGGAGATATACCTCCACCTTTATCTAGTCATCGAGGGAAAACAATATCTTGCTCAAAATGTGGCCGTGATAACCCCTGTGATGCTCGTTTCTGTGACTGGTGTGGAGCCAAGGTATGTGCTCATTTCTGTGACTAGTGTGGAGCCAAGGCCTTAGGAGTCTGTAAAAAAGTTTCTTTCTGTTGCATTGGCATTTGGGGTTTGTGTTGACAAGTCCAGTTTTACCCATCTGTGACCTGCAGCAATTCCATAGCTCCATTCCCAAGAATCTTGTGGGGCCTAAAAATTAACCTATGCAGATGCTAATTCTGTCTGCAAAGCCTTACCTCTGCATGGCCTAATTCTGAAACAGCCTATTGTGAAGAGCTGTACCTTTGGTCTGGCTTTTGACAGGGTGTGAGCCTTGTTTTAGAATGGGCAATCAAGCTCTCCAGTCTAACAATCATTACCATAACTAACCTAGTTTCTCTAAATTCAGGCTAGTTGGTCTGATTGGTAGCTTTACTTCTGATAGGAAAAGGGAGCTCTCCATTGTGCTACACATTTCTGTGCTCCTATGGTGATAATGGTTTCATTGTACATTTCAGCCAGGTCCCCCTCCAAGCTTATTCACTTGCTTCAAGTGTGGTGCAAGCAACCACCCATATGCCAGATTCTGTGGATCTTGTGGTGTTTATATTGAGCCTCCATCAAGACTAGGCTCTGAGAATAGCGTGCTGTTGGGTGCTGGAGATACCTCTGTGTTTTCGGAGGTAAGTCATGTAATGTCACAAATGAGACTGAGATCACAGTAGAAAGACTGCTATTCTCAACTGGTATAAACTGGTGTAACTCCATTGACTTCTTCCATCTGAGGATACCATGTTCTGCTTGCAAACATTCTAGGTATGTCTACACAGCAGCGTTATTTTGGAATAACTGATGTTATTCCAAAATAACAAAACGCATGTCTACACTACACGTCTTTATTATGTTCACCTGGAGGACTCCTTACTCCGACTCATGGTAACCCTCATTTTATGAGGCGTAAGGGAAGTCAAAGGAAGACTGCTCTTCCTTCAACTTCCTGCTGTAGACAGCACCAAAAGCCAAAATACGCAATTTCGACTTAAGTTCCTAACTGTCAGGGTAGTCAAACACTGGAATAAATTGCCCAGGGAGGTTGTGGAATCTCCATCTCTGGAGATATTTAAGAGTAGGTTAGATAAATGTCTATCAGGGATGGCCTAGACAGCATTTGGTCCTGCCATGAGGGCAGGAGTCTGGACTCAATGACCTCTCGAGGTCCTTTCCAGTCCTAGTATTCTATGATTCTATGAACATACACAATTTACTCTCTGCCCTCCAATCCAATATATACATACCCTCTGTGAGCAGAAGAAAAAGTTACATATATTCACTGTGGGAATTGTTTGCTGTGGATATTTACTCATCCTTAAACTTAATATGCAGGGCTTGACGAACCACGGCGGAAGCTGCTCACCAGCTGCGCATGCGCAAGAGCAGCATTGCACATGTGTGCGCAGCTGGTAAACAGGGCGCTGGGCTGAAATTTACTCTCCCTAGGCGAGTAGATTCAATAGATTGTCGAGCCCTGTTAATATGTATAGCAAAATGAGAAGCAATCCATCTCTTCTTAAAGCATTTGCTCTTAAAGTAATTTTATCTGGTTCTGACACAATCACTCACATTATATCTGGCTAACTGAAGGCTTTCTTTGATTAATGCATGTGCCACATGATTTTAAAAATCATGTTTTAAGAGAAGACCATAATACTTAGCAAGCACAAATGTAAGAGTATCAGATGCTCTCAGAAGATAATTCAGTTTCTGTTTACAAGAAATAGGTTGCATGGGCTTTTCTGAGTATTAATGATATGTGAGGATGGCATTTTTTGCAAATGCTAACTGTAATCAGGCATTATTAAAATTCCTCTTTTAAATGGTTTGCATCTCTGATGGCTTTTTCATTCTAGGATTTCTTTTACATGCATGATTTCTTTCCTTTTTGGTGATTTCCTCACCCCCCCTTCTATTACACTTTTGTCATCTGGGCACTGATCTTTCCCAACAGGGTAAAGGATTACAGACTCGAGCTGCCTGGGAGCCTCTGGGGGTTTCATTATCAAAGTCAAGACTAGATAGAACAGGAAGAAAAGAGAAAGGAACCCAGACTATTGGCCTGTTCTATCCATCCAGCAAACTCTTGGAGAAAAAGGAACTTGAGCTGATTTCTCAAAAAGAAAAGCAGGAGAAGATGAGTGATCACAAGCCACTGCTCACAGCCATCAGTCCTGGAAGAGGTTAGAAATAGTTTATGATTGCACATGGTCGCCAAAGAAAATGTCCCTTTGTTCCGAAACAAAACTACCATATTTCACCTTGTATTCTTGCAAAATGGGTTATCCTCTGTAGGATAATCCCTTGAAAGGTCACACTCCTTCCCACTCATACCTGTACATCCTGTGCCTGGTGCTTTGATCTGGGATGCCACCCTTCTCTAACGCACAGCAAGCCTTCACAGAATGTACCAGAATTACATTAAAAGGCCTTTGTGCAGCCTTATTGTTTGGCTGTAGTGTCATCACATCTTCCAAGGATCAGACATGGTCAATATTTGGATTGAAGACTATTAAAGAAAACTCAGGTTTTGTCTGAAAACATATAATTCCTGATGATATTCTTTCTGGCAATAGTGGCATTTAGGGTTGCTGGAGACACTCTCTTTTAGAAAATATGTAAGGGCTTATCTGCACAGGGACATTGCCAGAATAGCTATTGCAGAATAAACTGAGGAAGCAGCACTGTTATTCCAGAATAAAGTGTCTACAAAGAGAGCTGTTCCAGAATAGCTGTTGCAAAACAGTTATTCTTCAATAACTTGTGGTCAGTTTACCCATACCTAACTCCAACATCTTGACTCTTTGGGTTCATGAAAAATCCTTTATGAATTGGGATCTTAGCCCCGATGTCCTGGCAAAATTCCAGTTGATGGCCAAAAGAAACCTTAAGATAGACACCTATAGCTATATTTATGTTGTACCAAATAAAAGCAAGCAGGATCTTATGAGGGGGATAAGGCAAAAAGCCACATTTATTGTAAAGATAATAATAAAAAAATAAAGAAAAGATAGAAGCAAACAACGTTGTTTAACTACTTAACCCTTATACATATAAACATTCATTCATCCATCCATTCATTAAGGTTCTGTGTATTTGTTATAGTTACCAGCCTGGAAGTTGCTTGTGACAGAATACTGGCCAGGTATTCTGTACACAAGTGATGGTAGTGGGGAGCGAAGTCCTGATCAGATGCGCATCTGAAGCTCCTGGTAGGCTGGCAGCAGAACCTTGGACTCTGATTCCATAGTTTTTTAGTCCAGTTCTTATAGGAATTTCTTCCTATGCCAGTTTATGGAAATTGCTGCATCATGCTGATGTCTCCAGGGTGGCTGCCAAGTGCTCGTCAGTGATCTCATCGGGTGGACCTCCAGTACTTGGTTTTCTCCACTTGACACCGTTTGGTTGCACTGGCACCTGACGCCTTCTTCAGCCCTTTGTTGCTGTATTCCCAGGCTGGCACCTCTCAGAACCATTCACTCATCATCCAAGCACTCTCTC